TTTTGATAATTTAACTTCATTAAAATACATAACAATTCAAAAAAATTAATAATATGAAGGTAATTTTTTAGATGCCATCTACAAAATTCCTGTTTATATATCAGATGGACATCTAATACACTACTAATGAAAACTTATTTTTATTTGATTTTTTAAAATACGGATTTACTAAAAAAATGAACAAATAAAACAAAAACAAGTGATCCGTTATTAGCTTAGTAGGGAAAATCCATAAATAGTCGAAACAGATATTTATTTGCAAAAATATTTTATATTTCTCGATAATTTAATTAAAGATAGATAATAAAACAGTTATGGATAAAAATAGTTAAAATTCATGGCACCAACAGTAACTACAACTAGCATTTAAACAACTTGACTTCATTTAATTATTGTAATTAATTATTCTCTAATGCTAAAATACATTTGATATATATTATAATTGATTTTCTGAAAAAATGATTTATGTAAAATGAATTGAAAACTATTTTATGTAAAATGAAATATATATTTTGAAATTAATTTTTCAAATTTCTTTTATGGTATTTTGATGATATTATATAAACTATTTTTTATTAATTATTTTATATATTACAATTAATTTGATGAAAATAATTTAATTATTTGATATAATGTAATTAATTTGATGAAAATTGATTTAGTAAATTAAAAAAAGTTTGGTTCGGTTAATATCTTTTAAAAAATATTATTCAATTAACGATTAAAAGAATTCAATTAACCCATAATTCGATTCTATCAATAGTCTAATTAACGTGAGCATCTTTAATTTATGATACATTATTAAATTAAAAAATATAATACCATATATTTGATTAATCGAGTTAATGATAATTCAATTTAGTCGATAGTCAAATTAATGTTTGAACTGCTTGAACATTTTTAATTTATAACATATTATTAAATTGAAAATATCATATTATATATTATTATAATATAATAGAGTAAATATTAACATAATATTAAAAATATTATATTATTAAAACAATACTGAAATATCATATTAACATTTAAAAATATATTTCAAAATATTTAAAAGATAAAAAATTTTGTAAAAAATACAAAAAAAATGAATTACATCAATTACAACTATTAAATACTTAAAAATATATTTTTTAAATCAATTACAACTATCAAATAAAAATACATATATTTTAAAATATTTTTAATTATCAAACACAAGAATATAAAAAAAAATCAAACAATCAAATACACTCTTGTTCACAATATAATTTCCTTCTTCACAAGAAATGTGTTGAATTACTTCTAAACAAGCATAGAATTGATAACTCAGCACATTCTCATGAAGAAGGAAAGCATTGTGAGGATTGAGATTGGAGCATCAGCCTAATCCTTTTGTGCTTTAATATATAAAAGATGGTGGGGGTGAACTTTTCTACTGCTGAGCAATGTGGGATACTGCTCTGCTCTATAGCTCTTAGACCTTGGCCAACTCCTTTTCAGCTGGGAAGTATTTTAACTTCATTCATCTACGAAATCAGTTGGTTTAATATATAAATAAGCATAGAATTGATAAGTCAGTACATTCTGATGAAGAAGGAAAGCATTGTGAGGATTGAGATTTGAGCATCAACCCAATCCTTTTGTGCTTTAATATAAAAAAGAATGTTGTGTGTTGCCTACAATTCAGCATTTGAAATAAAAATCAATAAAAAAAACAATTTTCAAATGAGATTTTAACGGTCTTAATTGATTTACTCATCCCGAATTCAATACATTATATGTTAATGATATAAAAATGTAAAATAAAATTATTTTATCAAAATTAATACAAAAATTAAAAATACAAGTCAAATCATCGTAAATAATCTAAAATATTAAAAACCCTGACCAAATTGAATCAATCTTAATCGTATACTCCGCCAATAACACTAGTATCGAAAAGAAGGTCAAAACTGTACTGACAATTAGCCCCAACATTTGAATTTAATGCATCAAATAACTCACGGGTGCGGCCCATCAAAGCCATGTGAATAGCTTCATGTTCCGACCACCCTCTATTATTATATTTTCTTTTGTGTATTTTTATTTTTTTATTTAAAATAAAATAATTATTATAAAATATCCTTGTTTAATAATTTAAAATAATACTAATGAATTCGAGACACGGTTAAATCAGACTAAAAACAGATCTGAATAAATAATAATAATAATAATGACGATAAAATCTCCAGATATAAGAATTTAAATTTAATCTTAAACATACATTTTTAATTAGTGAAAAGTAAATGAATCTAAACAAATATCTCTAAATATAATTAATTTTTATAATAATAATAATTTTTACAATTTTTTTAATCTATCATCATTTATCTTTAATTATATTAAAATAAAATAATCAAAATATATGACAATGGACTAAAATGAGAAATTTACCGTTAATAATTTTCTTTGTAACATCGAGATTTTCATCTGAAAACTCCTCACGATCAATTAATGTAGTTAGATAAATTAATTATTTAAATGATGTTAATTAAATTATATATCATTAACATCTTGATGGATGAGTTGTCCTTACATAAAGGATGAGCACGGGGTGGGGCGGGCTGGTTTTTCGGCTGTCCGACCTTGACTCGAAAATATATACCTAAGGCTAAATTCGACCCGGTCTCGCATTGATAAATTTTAGGTGACCCGCTTTGAATATTAGACTAAAACACCGACTCGACCCAACCCGATACGAAAATATTAAATTTTTAAAATTATAATAATATATTTATATTTATTTATTATATTTTAAAAGGTTAAATTAATATATTTTTTAATAATATTTATATTTTTAATAGTTAAAAAATAAAAAATTCTTAAAATATTAAATATAATATAAGTAAATAAAAATATATTGATTCGGGTGGAGTCAGTGATTTCTCACCTTAAACGTGGCCCCTCTTGAAATTTTATACCATATAACTTGTTCCGCCTCGTCCCGAGCCTCGAAATTTCATAAAAACACCCTATAGAGTCGGGTCAGGTCAGGACCCGCCAAGTTCGAGTATTTTGACCATCCCTAATTATGTATTTGATCTTTATTACTTACCCATTCTATCAATTTAGTCTTCATTACTCACTAACCACTAGGACATGCTTAACCACTAAACCAAGTCACAAATTAAAATTATGATCAAATTGATAAAATATATAAATAATAAAGATTAAATGTGTAATTATATTAATTTGATGAACTACTATGCTAACTCCACGGTCAAATATTAACGACAAGTAACTTCATTGACATAAAATAATTAAGTGATTTGATTGATAAAACTAAAATATCAATAGTCAAATTAGAATTTTCTTATAATTAAGTGGTTATTATTATAGTTTACTCATAAAATAAAGGTTTAAATATAAAATAAGTACCCAAACTATAGCGATTTTCACAAATGTAAGCCTAAACTATTTTTTGAATGATCTAGTTGTCTAATGTTACAAATGTTACCATTTTAGTTCTCCAGGCTGTCAAAGGCATTAATTTCTTCCGTTAAGTGACTCGTGTCACAATTTGGTAATTTTAAAATTAATTTTTAAAAATATTATTATATTTATAAAAAAAACCTAATTTCTCTTAAATTAAAAAAACCCAAAATCCCTAAAATTCCTAAATACTAATCCCAACACACTGTCGTCACCCTGGTCATATGCTGTCGTTACTGTCGATTAGCCGTTGGAATCGCGTGGGATCGCTATTTTCATCTTAGGGTATACAATGTCTGTTCACCATCGATCGATCATGATTTCATAAGGGTTTTGGTTGTCGGGGGAGGTGAGGTTGGGTGCAGCTTCATCGATAGCAAAGGTCGGTGATCGGTGTGGGTTTAGGGGTTGAAATGAAGGTTTTCAAAGTTTTGGGGTTATTTCAAAATTTTCATGTTTTTTTAAATATAATTTAAATTTTAAATAAAATTTTTAAATTATCAAATTGTAACACACATCACTTAACGGATGAAATTTTATTAACGGCCCGAAAACCTAAAGTGATAACGTTTGTAATATAAGACGTCAAGATCATTCAAAAAATAATTTAATCATCTATTCGTGAAAAATGTTATAGGTAGCACAATTATTTTATAATCAAGCCTAAAATAAAACAATACTTTTACCTTTCTCAGCTGATTTATTTAAAATCAATAAAAACAGTTCCCAAGATTCTAGTGTGAGTGCAACTGCATGAGAGGCAAAAGAGTTGAGAATTCCCAATTCTTTTTACTGTGCCAAAGTGCCTTCTGCCTTGGATTGTTATTTTACGATTTTCATTGCATTTATTACGTCATCACATTTGTAATCATTTAAATGGTTGAAGTTTCCAACCATGCAAACTTTTATTTTCAGTATTTTAATCTTTAAATGGATCTCAAGTTCTGAAACTCTTCCCTTTTTTTATGTCTGGCTCTGACAATGTGTCTCTGCGCCCTATGTGGTCATCATTTATTTATTCCGTACTATATATTCACATATTTTAGTGTAATATTTATCTATACACAATGGTTTTTAAGGCATTATTCTCTGTTAAAATTACGCCTATGCTGCAAAACCCAGAAGCCTTCTCTCTTACCATCAAAGTGTCTATTTTATTTGTTTATTGGGTTTTGGGAAATCATTAACCTTTTCATTGGCAATTTGGCAGCAGCACTGCTTTGACAGATAACTTTGTTTACTTGTTTTTGATATAAGGGGAACTTTAGAGGTTCTTTAAACATGGTGATTAGTTAGTTTAATGGATAAATCCCACATGGGTGATGGGACCCTTTACTGCTTTGATTCTTGTGAACCCAAATTTCAGATATTTCAATGGATTCTTGTTGAAAGAAAAAAAACATTATTGATCTCCTGTTTGATGTAACACTGTTCATCCATTTGTGCTCTAATTGCTTGTAAAAAGGTCTCACAAGTTTTCTCTTTGAAATAAAAGATAACATTCATCGGATTTTGAGTTCGAATTCTAACATTTTGTTCGTCAGAAAATGAGATCAAGTGAAGATAAAGGATACTATGAGATTTCGAGCGGCAATGTTTTTGAGTTTCATAGAGGGAATGTGGCTAACCGTGGTTCTCATCAACGGCCTGGCTTCTGCAAACCGACACCTTCCAAATGGGATGATGCGCAGAAATGGCTGGTGGGGCTGTCAAAAGGTAGAAACAAGAGCCAACCCGAAACCACGCCTCGGAACTCAAACGCCGATGACCGGAGACTGATAGCACCTGTTCCACAGAAAGAACAAGACTCTTCGAACAGTGAAGGTGAAGTTCGTTCAGCAGCACAAGAAACAAATGGTCTGCCAGCCACTGCTGTTGCAGCTATGCCATCTGAATACCAAGATGAAACAAAACAGGTGCACTGTGATGAATCGGTTTGCCGAATCAATTACAAGCCTGCAAACCAGAACTCAACATCGGTTTTGAGATCAGTATGTGTGAGATATATGGGGACCGAGATGACCCCTGCTGTAAGCCAAGAGCCATCAAGAACGGCAACACCGATCCAAGCCATGAGTCCTTCTGCAAGGAGTCCTATTACTTCGGGATCTTCCACTCCGGTCCGATATCACCATGGACAACCCTGTGGTGAGAGCCATCAAGCAAGTGCTACAGGTAAACATGATACTGATGGAGCTGCCAGGGGAAATGAAACAAATGGACTGCATAAACAAGAATCCAGGATGGAAAACAATAAGTCGGATCAAGCTAGCAAGCAAAATACACTAGAAAGTCAAGCAGCGGCTTGGGATGAGGCCGAACGTACTAAATATACGGCAAGGTGATGTACAGTTAGCTTAAGCTTAGGGATTTCTATATGATCAGATATAGTTGATAATAATGCAATATGATTCTTTTTTAACTCAAGTGGATCTGATTAGAGCATATGGCTTGCATTGTAGGTACAAGCGTGAAGAAATGAAGATAGAAGCCTGGGAAAATCATGAGAAGAGGAAAGCAGAAATGGAAATGAAGAAAATGGAGGTAACTGATTAGCTAGCTTCATATATATGACTAATATTGCTCCAACTACGTATTTTTCTTGAAACACACATGTTTAAAACTCGCATCCGCTGCATACCTGGATATAGTTTGGGTCTATGATTATCTAAGAACCATTGGAATGTATAAAAAAAAACTTAAACATACTTGTATCGTACACGCACACCGGAGTCCGAATCGCATGGTGTATGACACATACTCTAAATTACTTCAAAAAGCATGGCAAGTCATCCTTAGTGTCCAACCCATCTAACCAATACTGTTATGTTGATGTTTAGGTGAAAGCTGAGAGATTGAAAGCTCGAGCAAAAGAGAAGTGTGCAAACAAACTTGCTGCCACAAGGAGAATAGCTGAAGAGAAGCGTGCAAATGCAGAATCAAAACTGAATGAAAAGGCAATGAAAACTTCTGAAAGGGCAGATTACATAAGGAGGACCGGTCACTTGCCTTCTTCATTCTCTTTCAAGTTGCCTTCCCTTTGTTGGTAATCATATTAAACTCTGCTGCAAAATGTTCAATGTCATTACAATCCCTTGTTCTGACCTTTTTCCTCTATTTATGATGTAAGTTACGGATTCTGTTACAGCTATCGAATGTGTCGGATGTATGAATGCGTCCGACACAGGTAATGTTAATTTTTCTTTAATTTCATATATTTTTAGGGTAATTATAAGGTCATACCCTCGCGTCCATGTCAATTACGCAAATATTTGAATTTGTAGAACTAGTAGAGAATGTTTCTATGTATTTTTTTTCATATGCAGAAAGGGTTATATATACACAACTAATATAGCTAAACTAGGTAACATAACAGTTACATTTAATGAAATATATACTAGCCTAGAAATTAGGCTAATAATCAGTAACACTCCTCCTCAAATTGGTTCATAGATATTAATCATGCCCAACTTGTTATATAGATAATTGATTCGGATTCCATTGAGAGCATTTGTGAAGATATCTCCTAGTTGTTCTCTGGTCTTTACATATCTAGTAGTAATTAAACCTTGTTGTATCTTTTCACGATTGAAATGACAATCAATAACAATATATTTCGTTCGTTCCTGGAATACAGGATTGGAAGCAATATGAATAGCAGTTTGATTATCACACCAAAGTTTTGTTGGTACTGAAACTTTAATTCCTACTTCATTAAGGAGCTGATATACTCATATGATTTCACATACGGATTTGGCCATTGTTCTATATTCAGCTGCAGCACTAGATCGCGAGACCACATTTTGTTTATTACTCTTCCATGAAACCAAGCTTCAACAGATGACAAAGGAAGAGACGGGGTAGGATTCGCAGTGTCGGAGCCAATAACATTGAATGTAGAACCATCGGCTAAAGTAAAAGGAGTGATAAAATGGGATTTAAAATGAAAAAGAAGACTGAGGTTACCTGTCATTAGGCTGTTGCACCAGAATTAATGACCCATTTCGATGAGGTGAAAACAAGCCATGTATTGGGTTTACCTGACTCAACAAAGACGAGATGAAGGAACTTGGCATACTCATCCGCAGATATTGTAACAACTGTTGAAGAAGCTTATATATTCTTTTTATCAGCCATAAGTGCAAGATAACACACAACCCACAACAAATGCAAAACCAGAAACCAAACAGTACTTAAAAAAAAGAAGGCGACACCCAATCCAAAACCAAAAAACAGAGGCACAAGTCAGCGGCAGGGGTGGTCGAAAACGAGCGGAGAAGATGGAAGAAGAAATCGACATCGGAAAGGATCAGCTATGCGCCCTCACAAGCCGGCGTGTGAAGAAACAGCAGAACCTTGTGGTGGCACGTGAGCTTCACGCGCAGGGATTGTGGCGGTCGAAATTGCCATATCGGCCAATCGATGCGCGGTGAACCTCCTAGTGCTGGCGGTGTCGAGAGATTGACCTCCAAAAGCCACTGGTGAAAAACGACCAAAAATACTCCTTTCTTTCGATACCCAAACAACCCAAAAAAATTCAAACACTTAATGTTTTAACACATCCGATACCATGTAGAACTAGTAGAGAATATGTTTCTATGTATTTTATTCATATGTAGAAAGAGTTATATAAACACAACTAATATAATTAAACTAGTAACATAATATTTACATTTAATGGAATATATACTAGTCTAGAAATTAGCCTAATAATATGTAACAAAATCGAACACTTATAAAAAAAATAGTTGGAATACCGTAACTTTTCGATTCTGAGATGTGATTACTGCTTTACAATTGCACTAATGTGGTAAATGTAAAGTTCCCTTTCTAATAAGAATTAAAAATCTGTATCGTTAGGCATACAATGAAATAAATAAATGAAGGACACTAAACGTAGAGAAATTTGCCTGACTTCCAAATGTCGCATCATGCAAAACTTCCAAAAACCTTCCGGCAAATAACCTCATCACAGTCAGTTTCGTTCTCTCTACGTCATCCATTTATTCCCAACAAATTACCAGATGCAGCAGCCGGCTAGTAATTTTTGCAGCGACAGGGAAACCGTGAGCTAGCCAACGACTTGACGATGCCTTGAACCAAGAAAACAATCAATCACCTATAAAGCTGAAAACTCACTTGGAATTGAAGGATATAATCCATGGAAAAACTGATATGCTTGATTGGAGATTTTACTAGGCGGGGCTGAAGACGACTGTTTGTCCAAGCAGGAAAGTAACCAAAGTAAGTTCAATGAAAAAGATTGTGTTGATGAGTCCCCGATCAACTGTCCATCCAAATATAGTAATGCCCCCTGGGTTGGCTTGCAAGTACATCACTGCATGACACAGAACATTAAACCCCATAAGCATTAATTAACTAACTAAATTGATATAGGTGCTCAAAATGTTATACAGGAGCTTGACAATCTTGTTGTAGTTCAAGTTCTTAGAAACACAGCCTTGATACAAAGTCACTTGGGGACCTTGCACTCATTAAAGATGATGTTCAGCGGCAGTGGAACGTCCAAGTACAACATGTTTACCGGGAAGGAAACATGGTTGCAGATTGAATGGGCATCATTAGCTGCAAGTTGTATCGTTGAATGCACTAGTTACTATAATCCTCCCTTGACTTTCTCAAGCTGTTTGAGGATGATATAAAGGGGGAGGGGAACTCCCAACTTGTTAGGAGTCCTCTCTTTATTTTACCCAAAAAAAAATCATACCTTTAAGCCAAACACATACATTCATCTGGTCAGACTTGAAAATTAAAAGTCATCTGGTCAGACTTGAAAATTAAAAGTCTGACCTGACTTTTTTTGGGGGATGATATAACGGTTTGATCTTTTTTTGGGGGGGGTAAAATAATGGAAACAAAAGACTTTATGGTTGAAATACTGGGTTTTTTACTGTGCCTGGTGTTCAATATAACTAATCTAGTTCTCATTGCAAAACTGGTACCTGCTTGCAAACTAATTACCACCAGCCCACTTCAAGTAACCATATCGAAATACTATAAACTATAGATACAAAGCTAGTACAAATCCAGTTACTAGGTCAAAAATGACGTTACTCAGATTTGAGTGTGAACGTATGGCATGTATTTGACATGGTATGTTCATTTTGTTTCAACATTTTTCCATGTAACTGAAGGTTCCATGGAGTGTCAGATCCATATGCACATGTCCGTTTACGTGTTAGACACGGGAGTCAAATATGGATGGTTTCAAGAATAATGTAGAGTCGGAAGAACATATATAAAAAGGATAAATGAAGAATATCCATTGTCCTTAAATGGAAATCAGAAGAAAAAAAATCACAAATTTGATATAAACCAACCATCTTCTACACATTAATAATGGCTTATGTATTGGAGTTACATCAGCAACTGAACATATCTTGGATTCAGATATGATTGGTGGACATGGTATGTGTTTGACACAAGTACGCTCAGTTTTTTTCCAAGATTTCCATATACTTGGAAGGTCTTTGGAGGTTCATATCCCACACCCATGGTTGGTTATGCATCATACACAAGTGCCAGACATACTTCATGAAAAATGAAAGATGAAGCAACGTAGAGTGCATCTGCTATGTGTTTTATGCTCAGTTTACTATGGTATTAGTGCAAGGTTCACATTGTTGCTTCATGATGTCCTAAATCTTCATAAGAGAAATAAACAGAGAAGGCAACAGACACAAGATAAATTGCGTACCAAATGCTTGTCTTCTGTGATATGAAGACATATAAGAAGCCAACTGTGTAGTTGTAGGGATGGCGATGAAATCCACAGAATCCAGATCACTTTCAGAAAAGGTCATATGTAGTGAGTTCGATTGATTTAGGACTTCCATGTTTCCTGCACTGTTAGAACATCTAAGGGATGCATCGTTCGAAGAACATGTAGCCAGTGCATGCCATCTACATGCTAATGATGCAATTCCTTGAGCTCTATGAGAAATTCTTGTGGCTGCATGCAAGCAAAGAATAATCCCAACCACCTGAACAATCGAGGAGATCTAGAAAAAGGCAAGAAAAAGAACAGACAACAACAATTAAAACTCAAAAGTATTAAATGGTTAAACTCTGAAGAAACTATGCCAGGAGGATTGATTAAGCTTACGGATGAACGATCAAACTATACAGAAATAAGTATCACAACTTACTGCAAAATCCCCACCATTTATGAAGTTAACCGTTCCACCATATACTGTTGTCTGGAGAAGAGTCACAAATTGGCTAACCGAGACAACCAAGAACTGTAAAAGAAGAAACATCCGGAACCTATGGCTTATCTTGGAGGGATGATACCGTAGTCGAATGTGCTCCTCAATAAATACCACAACATCAGATTCTCTTTCCAAGAGCTTTGTATAATCATCAAAGTGAATAACTTGCAAGTTGCAGAGTAAATGAAACAAGATGCTGGTGGATAGACTAATCGTACAAACATAAGTCCAGGACAAAATCCAAGCAACCAAAATAGCAACAGATAACCACCATGAATCACGTTGCACGTATAAACTTCAAATGATCTCACGCACCATCTTCAAAATAAAGCAAGGAAGCAACCACCATACCATCAGGCGCATAGAAGCCTATACAAAGGTATTAATCCAAATCAAGAAACAGAACTAAACAAAGGAAAATATTCAAATGCATCTTAGTTTAATTTTTATTACCAAAATTGCTAGTGCCAAAACTATTAGAAGATTCATACTGTGTTGTTATGACTCTTTATTATGATTGGCATACCCTTCTTCCACAAATTCCTGGATATATGTATATATATATAGGAATGGGACCTTCCGAGAACCCTCCAAGTACATGTTAGAAAAAACTGAACACACTGGTATCGAGCACATGTTAGAATTTAGTCCCTCGATTTTTTTTTTAAAAAAATTTAGTTTGGTCCCTTCAAAATATTTAAAATTCTCATTAAGTTTTAATTTCTTGGTACCAAGTCTATAAAACAAGCAACAGTCAAAACAGGAGATCATTTCCAAGCTAGGATTAATCATAAGCTTTCTATTTTCGTATCCGTGATTGACTGGTTGATCCAACGACATGAATCCATAATATAAAAGATCAAAACATTGAATGCGTTAATCCTGATTACGCGCTGGTAAATCAAAACTAATCAATTTTAACACAAAAGTTTTAAAGAAACGGGGAAACTTTACCGAAATCTGCTTAACATAAAGGTCGGAAAATCGAGCCATTTGACCGCCGTATCGATCAACGAACAAAAACCTCCGAAGACCGTACTTTCTGAGATTAAACGAAATACAAAACAAGGAAACGGCCGCCATACAAGCCTGAGAAGCCACAACTTCCAACCCGAAATCCCTAATCTGGTACGTCTCACAACCGTCGCACTTGGAAGGTTCCAGCGCCAAAACAGGGACCAAAACCCCTACGACCGTGAACGCCGCCCAAGACAAGGAGAGACTCAGCAAAGAAGATTGATTGAAGCCAAGGAAAGTCAAAAACCTCTCCAAATTTTCCAACGAATTATCGAGATTGTTACTTGTTCGGATCTCTTGTTGCTGATGGCCTCGAACGGCGACGCTTTGAATGTTTGGACTGAGCAAAGGGATTCGGGCGGGAGGTGGTTGCTCTTCATCTAATCCTACATGAGAATCACCCATTGAACAAAAATGGAAACTTTTTTCCCGGGAAATTCCAATCTTTTTGGTTTCAATGAATCGAATATCTAAAAATCAGGAATTTATTTCGATTGTTCAAAAAATCGTGGAGAAAGTGAAGGTTGGTGAAGATTGTAAACTGTGTCAGAGGTCATCCCTTGATGACTGATTTTTTAAATTTACGGTGCGGGAGGTAATTAATTATGGAGTGAAGTCGTTCTTATTGACCTTTTAAACGGTAAGCAGCAGTAGTATTTTTTTTATTTAATCGATTAATTTTAAATTTAATCGGTTAATAGTTAATATTTTTTTAAAATTTAATTATTAGTTAATTCGGTTTAAAATAAGTTAATTAATCAAAATAATTGAATTAATCAAAAATTTTAAATATTTAATATATTATATATATTATTTATATATTAATAATTTTAGAAATATTTAAATTTCGGTTTTGTTTGAACTAATCGACCAAATCAAATGAATTAACCAACCGATTAACTGAACTTTATTCAGTTTAATTAATTATTTTTGAAAAATTTTAAGTTCAATTAACGGTTAAAATAACAATTTTTAATTTAATAAAATTTTTAATTTAAGTTCAATCAACCGTCGGACCTGTTGAACACCCCTAGTAAGCAGTTTGTTGGCCGTTGACTCAATGATATTGCTCTGATTAAGAAAGGCCGATTAGGGTGTGATTATGATTGATATCTTTATGAAGACTTTTTTTTTTTTTTGCTAATAAGCATGACGTTAGTTGCCTGAGAGTGGGACCATAACTTGACTAGCTTTGAATTTATACGGTTTTCTACGTTTAGTTCACGGAATGTAAGACTACCAGCGGGAATAAAAGATTATCAGAGAATAGGATTATTGTGAATGTTGTATTTTGTGTTTGGTTGATTTAACTAGAATGTAAGATTATCATGTTTGGTTAAAGGAATAAAAGATTATTAGAATGTATATTTAACCAAATTGTCCTTATTATATATTTGTATAATATTACAAGTTGGAAAATATTTATATTTTTTTAAAAAAATTAAATTCATAAAATTTATAATTTTTTACAAAATTAAAAATATAAAAAAAATTAATGAAATGATAAAATTTTATTTTAATCCCTGAACTTTATATAAAGTTTTAATTATAGACTTTTTTTTGTAAATCTAAAATAGTTTATGGATAAATTTATAATTTAACCTTCATAGAATTTTTATTATTCAATGACAGAAGAATGATATTTTTTAAAGAAAAAAAATTAAAGACATTTTAGTCTAAAACGCCGGTAATGTTACAATATCTAAGGGAAAGGAGGTAATGACATTCTCGGTAAGATATCCCAAAAAATCTACTATTAGTAATAAAACATTACCGGGAATGACATTTCCAGCCAAACCAAACGGAGGAATGTGGATTCCATTCCCGAAGAATCTCACATTCCCCCATCCAAACGGCCCCTAAATACCGATTCTTATGTCATATAGATATATTAAAATATTTTGTTATTAATATTTATATTATAACATTTTGTACAAATTTATGGTTTCAATAATTAAAAGATGATTATTATTTTTAGAAGTCTTGAATTCAAGTAATATTAATTATAGAATATTTTAATATTTATTATTAAATAGTTAAAAGTTTTTAATACAAATATTGTCACTTATAATTATTTAAATTAATAAAAGAAATGCATAACATCTTTATATATATATATATATATTAAATATTGACTCAAATTCAAAATAAAAATTAAATTATGTTTTTGTAATTTTTGTGATTAAAAATTATTTGATGAATATATTTATTTAAATAAAAATTGTATAAAATAAAAATTATTAATAACCAATTATTTAACTCTATAAATAATGAAAAGAATTATTTTAAAGAGATACATTCATTTTGTAATCTCTGAATTTGGGATTTGTGTTGTAGGGATGAATTTTGTAGGTATATTAAGAGAGTGGTTTAGAATACACATGATGTTGATATAAATATCAAATTTTGGGAGACATGAAATATTATGTATTTGTATCCGGTGATCTTTATTTTTAGAGAAAATCGCCTCAGTGACCAAAAAAAAGTTATAATATACGATTTTAACCAACTTTTTTTGGATTTGCCAAAATGACCAACAAAATCGCAACGCGAAATAAAAATCGCAACGCGATCCCCAGAATCGCAAATCAGTTTCCAAAATCGCAACGCGATTCTTGAAAATCGCGATGCGATAGTACAAATTCGCATTGCGATTTTCAATAATCGCAACGCGAATATGAAAATCGCAACGCGAACACATAAATCGCAACGCGTATCCGTAAATCGCAACGTGTATCCGTAAAATCGCAACGCGTATGGGTAAATCGCAATGCGTATCCGTATATCGCAACGCGTATCCGTAAATCGCAACGATAATACATAAAATCGCAACGCGTATCCGTAAATCGCAACGTGTATCCGTAAATCGCAACGCGTATCCGTAAATCGCAATGCGTATCCGTAAATCGCAACGCGTATCCGTAAATCGCAACGATAATCCGTAAATCGCAACGCGTATCCGTAAATCGCAACGATAATCCGTAAATCGCAACGAGAATCTGTAAATCGCAACGATAATCCGTAAATCGCAACGAGAATCTGTAAATCACAACACTGAAATTTTGGGTATATAACACTGAAATCATAAACTAAATCCCTAAATCGCAACTCATTCCATCTCCATCTATCACTCTCTCCGGCGACATCCGTTCCTATATCCAACGACATCCTTCCCAATCCGGCAACAGGTTTTAGTTTCGCAGCTCGTCTGTTTAGTAAATTAATTTACAACCATGAAATCATCTGATCATGTTTGGATAGATTTGTGTTTTGGAGGGTCATGGGATAATGTTCATGGTGTTTTACAATATATGCCTTTACCCATGAATCTTCAACTAAAATTGTCTTTACAAAAGTTAACTTATGAAACTCTAATGCTACGTGTTTCAAATAAATTGAATTTAGAGCCCCTAAGTGGATTTAGGCTATCTTATCAGAGAAATGGTAAAGTTTATTTGTTAACCGACAATGAAGATGTTGAACGATTCATTGCTTACATTAGTGTTTCACAAGATGATGTTACATTGTATGTTGTTGAACCTAGAAGTAGTATTGTTGGGTCAGTAGCGGGTAGTAATCAACTAAGTTTTTCTCAAAACCCACAACCTTTCTCTAATCCAAATCCCAATCAACTTTCAGCACCAAATTCCGGTTTTCGTATTGACCAGTTAGACGATGATGAGCCAACAGAAAAAATTGTAAGTACTAGTCAGTATTCGAAATTTGGTCTTGGTCAATATCCGGACTTTGATATTGGTCAATACACGGATTTTGATGATGTTTCAGAAGAAGAAACAGACCATGTGTGTAATGATTTTAATATTGGTCAATACCCGAATTTTGATGATGAAACACCCGTTGCCGAGGAAGATGTTGTTGATGATAATGAGGAGGAAGTTACGACTGTGAATGAACATGTTGAACATCCATTCTGTAATTCATATAATCCTGAAGAAGAAAAAGAAGAAGAAAAAGTCCCCGAAGAAAAGAAAATGCCACGGGAGTATAACTGGAATATGCCAGAATTACTTCAGTTACCGGAAGAAGAGTTGGCAAAGAAAGCAGTTGATTGTTACACAAAAGTTATTCGTGTCAAGAAAGATGATTGTTTTGATACAAAGGAAGACTTGAAGATAGCTTTGTATACAAAATGTGTGGAAGATGGCTATCAACTAAAAGTTAACAAATCAAGCAAAGATCGTTTCGAAACAAGGTGTATGATTGACAAAAACTGTACGTGGCGTATGATTGCAAAGAGAATAAAAGATTGCAAAATGTTTCAAGTTAGGACTTTTATTGATAAACATACATGTTCAAGAACCCAAGTTTTTCCTCACCATAGACAGGCAAACAAAAAGGTGTTGGGTGGTTTTCTGGCTGAGTTAATGTTTTTGAATGGCAGGGTATATCGGGGACATGAAATTATGACTGACATGAATGCTCGGTTCAAGATTAGTATATCATATTCTCAAGCTTGGAGAGCCAAATGTTATGCCTTGGAATTGTTGAGGGGGTCGCCAGAAGCATCGTTTGCCCAACTGCCGGCTTATTGTCACAATTTATTTCGCGTTGCGATTTTTATTTCGCGTTGCGATTTTTATTTCGCGTTGCGATTTTGTTGGTCATTTTGGCAAATCCAAAAAAAGTTGGTTAAAATCGTATATTATAACTTTTTTTTGGTCACTGAGGCGATTTTCTCTTATTTTTATAGTGAATTCTTCTTCTCCTTATTTGTTGAGGTATGCAAAGATTGAACCACGTTAAATCCCATTTGTTATGCATGTCTTATTTCGTGTTAATTTCTTATTCATTATTTTTTAATTTATAAATTTCTAACAATATAAATAACATATTTTTCAAAAATAATTTTAAACATATTTTTTATTAATTTTGATGATTACAAAATAGTATATACTCAGAATTTTTCTTAATCAATTGACAATGAACGTACACACAATCTGACTTGCTCTTTGAGTTGATCAAAAAACTTTTAAATATTATAATTTTATCTCAAACCATCAAATCAATATATGTTAATCAAGGCCCTTATTAATAAAATCATTATAAATATTATTAATATCATCTAAATACACATGTGTCATATATAATAATATGATACGACGCAAATGATAATTAATTTTGAATTTAAATAAAATAATTATTTAACCTTAAAACACATAAAAGAGTTATAAACAATTTGTAAAAAAAATAAAAAGAATTTCAATTTTATTATAAATAATGATTTTAGAAGATGTGGTACAACATTAGCTATCATTTATGTCTAATCATATTATTACATAATACATATCAATGTTTACATGATACTCAACAATTTATTAACAATTTTATTAACATGCGACATGATTAACATATATAAATAGTTTAGTGATGAAATTATAATATTAAAAAAATTAGAGACTAAATTAAAATGAGGCTCATAATTTAGGAATGAATTTGAAATTTAAAAAAATGGAAAATCAATTTAAAATGAGAATCATAATTCAAGAGTGAAGTTAGAATATTAAAAATATA